GCTTTGAACCATGATCCTCAGATCTCAATTTCCTGAGTATCTAGGATTACAGGCATGAGCCACTGGCACCTAGCTCTTTTCTTTCTTCTTTTTTGTTTTTTTTTACTAACTCAATTAGGTAACTATCCTGTAACTATTTTGTGATAATACAATGTAATAAGCTTTTCTCTGACCCCTAAAATGCATTCTTACACATGTGTACACACAAAATTACCATAAAAGGTAAGATACTGATGATATCTAGGGTTGGGGTTTGTTGTCTCAATCTGAAAAAAGAATTGAAGGAACGGACACAAGAAGTTAAGAGCTTAGCACAGAGCAAGGAGAAAAGTCCCAGACTATTTACCTCTTGATAACTGGCCTGTCAGTATAGCTTCCTGACTGCAACCAGTGGGCTGCCTTATCTTGTATGAGGCCTGAACAATCAGGAGATGTTTAAATATAGAATGTGAAGTGACAGTGTAGAAGTAAAAGATTTATTGTAAGATTCGAACTAGCTGGAAGTGAATGTAACAGACTTCTCTGAAGAGAAGACCCAAGATAGAAGACTGGTGATATCTTGCCAGGTTTCTTATTACATTTTTTAAAATCTTTTTTTAAATCCTTTTTCCCTATTCATATCTCAAGCCTACTCCTATCTTTCCTGGACTGGCAGGTGTAATATTTATGCATTCTTGTGAGCATTTTCATTAGATCACCCACCGTAGAACATGTATGGGGTAACCTCAGAGCACAAGTGGGCTGCCTCTGCTCTGGTCCATGGCCCTCAGTCCCTTCTCTAGAACCAGTCCTGACTCTTTTCTCTTTCTCTATGCTGTCTACACAATTCCAAATATCCCCCAGTACCACATAACAAGTATTAAAAACAGTACTGTGACTGCTGGAGAGGTCATTGGAGTGAATTCAGGAAACTTGTCTGGGTGCCAGTGATTAACTCAGTAACTACAAATTTTGACTTTACATAAATCCTCTCAGCTCTCCCCTTTACCTTACTTACTAGCCTAAATTTCATCTACCTTGATTCTAAAATGCCCAGAATTGTAAACAAAGATAATTTAAGGATTAGGTTATTTCAATGAAATACCACCTGGTAAATTCCATTGATACTAGTGGCATCAGGAGGCGTACTGGAGCTATTATCAACAAGAGTAGTCCTGATACTGATTTGATTTTTAGAAGAGACATATTCAAGAGGTTTAAACACTCTGAAATGAAGTTATTAGTTATTATTATATTACAAATTGGAATCCAGTTTAACAACTACCTACTGAGAGTTCACCTAAGTCCTTATCAAATCAATATTTTATTGTAAAAATACTGTACAGAGGGGTTACATGAGCAAGTTAATGAGTACATTTCCTATCAAGCATAGTTGCCTCCTCCTTTGTTTTTCCTCTACCATCCCTTCCCTCCCACCTCCACAACTACAATGCTCCCTCCCCCCCTAAATTGTAAAGTTTGTTTTTCAACACAGTGTCTTGTATATCTCATTGTTACAATGGGTCAACCTGTATCCCTATTTAAGCATTTTGTTTCTTCCTTTCCCCTCCATAAATTAGAGAAGTGTATATACAAGATGCAAGGTACCTGCATCAAATACAGTGAAAACAGGGGTTATACCATGGGGGAGGAACATACAAAGAAACAAAAAAATGACATGGTACATAAAAAATACATTAGAAACAATAGCAGGAAAGAAAAAACCACTTGTGTCCCTACCTTGGGGTTCATTTCCCTTAACATCATCTTAACTGGTCAAAAGCTATGTATCTATTTCTTAAGAACACTATCTCCCTTCCTAGATTATAGATATGGCATCTTTATTTTCACAACTAGAGGCTCTCCTCTCTTTTCTACACTAAAACAGCAACGAAGTAATAAGGTGTTTTTGCCCTTCTTTACCAAGATTAGAATTTAAAACATAAGTCAAGATTTCTCTTCCAAGTGCATATTCAACCCCATGTGACCACATACCATGCCATAAACTTTTCACTGTTAAAGACATGGATCACAGGATACCCCAAGTGTGACTTTCACAAGACCACTAAAGTCACAAAATTAAACCATATTTTCCTTTTCCAGAACCCATATTACACTTATTCCATAGATCTTTACTAATGTACCTCCATATTATTAAAGTATACAGTATAGATGACTTATAGAATCAGTTCCAGTATTTGTACTTCAAATTCTTTTCAAATATGATGCCAATCCCAAAGGAAATAACAGATTATAATATCATGAGGACAGGGGATACAATATAAATATTTCCATATAGTGACTGTGTCACCCAAGATATCACCTAGTGAATAGAAATGATAATACACCATATTTAAGTCATGTTGTAGTGAAAAAAAAGGATAGCTTAAGGAAATTGAGGGTAACTTAAGGAAACTGAGGCCTAGTGAAGGCAACTCAGAAATGTGGTATTTAGAAACTTAGTAATGATATCTTTGCTTCAAAGAGACATAACAGGATGTAGTGATTCCTGAGGGATGCATTTATGTATGCCTTCCTGAGAAAAATGCTTTCCCACCTACCCCAAAATGCGATAGCATAGAGCCTCATGGTTTCAAGGATAAGGATTTGTTTTATGGCAGAATGCATTAGTACCTTGATACTCAGAAAATAACTCCATGTGTGATTAGAGCAAAGACAAAGAACCCAGCTCTGCATAACTTTAAAGCCAGAACCCCCTGCCTTTAGCATATAAATATTCCAACAGCAAAAGGAGCTGTGTGTCTCTTGTAAGGTCCACTCCAGGATGGTGAGCAGACTCCACCCTCCTCACAGCAAAGTCTCCTTCCAGTACCTGCATTACCTAGGCAACTGGCATACCTGGAAGAGGTCACATCTGGATTCAATGTGGCCACACCTTTCCCCCCACCCCTACCCTAGATAAGGCCTAGCCCATGACCAGATGCTCTCTTTCCCAGGTCTTTGCCAGCCACGTGGAGTGCCAACCTGGCCTAATGCCAGCCAGTCTACTGAATAAACCTACCTCTTAACTGAATACCACATGCAGGATGTGGTTCTTACTTGGTCACCTCTTCTTTAAAAATCTAACACAAATGGTGTAAAAAATTTTAGGTTTTAAAAACAGGGGTTATACTATGGGGGAGGGACAAAGCAACAAAGAAATATCTTATAAATATGTTATAAACAATAGCAAGAAAGAAAAATCATTTGAGTCTTTATATTGGGGTTCATTTCACCTAACATCAACTTATCTGACCGTTTCTGCTTGTCTCAGACATATACTAGTTACTGCAAATAAGGGGATTATGGGACCTATTTTTCTTTGGGCCTGGCTTACTTCACTTAATATAATTTTTTCCAAGTCTTTCCATTTCCTAACAAATGTGGCAATGTCATACTTTCTGCTGGAGGCATAGAATTCCATTGTGTATATATACCACATTTTCTTGATCCATTCATCTACTGAGGGGCATCTGGGTTGGTTCCATATCTTACCTATGGTAAATAATGCTGCAATAAACATAGTTGTGCTGGTAGCTTTAGTATGGTCTTGTTTGTAATCATTTGGGTAAATGCCCAAAAGTGGGATTGCTGGGTCATAGGGGAGCTCTATGTGGAGTCTTTTGAGGAACCTCCATACTGCTTTCCAAAGTGGTTGAACAAGTTAACACTCCCACCAACAATGCAGTAAGGTTCACTTCTGTCCACACCCCCTCCAGCATCTGTTGTTATTAGAGTTCTTGATTATAGCCATTCTAACTGGGGTGAGGTGGTATTGTTTTGAGTTGCATTTCTTTTATGGCTAGGGAGGTTGAGCATTTCTTCATGTGTCTATTGGCCATCCTTCTTTCCTCTTCAGAGAAGTTTCTCTTTAAGTCTTGATGTTGGTATAATTTGTGGAGGGGAAGGGAAAAACAATTGTTTAAATAGGGATACAGGTGGACCCATTGCAACAATGAGATGTACAAGACATTATGTCAAAAAACGAACCTTATATCTTTGGCATGGGGGGGGGGAGAGAAGGGGAGGGAGATGGGAAGGGATGGGAAGGGGAAACAAAAGAGGAGGCAACAATGCTTGATAAGAAATGTACTCATTACCTTGTTCATGTCATTTTAACCCTTCTGTGCAGGAAGGGTTTTTTAAATGTAGGTTTTGAGTTTTTGTTTGGTGTTGTGTATTCTAGTACTTGCAAGGTCTGAACAGGGACACCTCCCTCCCTCTTGGCTAAGTTTCTGCCCAGTATCTGTTACCTAGGTAACTGGCAGACCTGGAAGCAGTCACCTTCCCCTCCTGCTAGGTCACATCCTGGGCCACCTCTGGTCACATGCCTCCCATCTGACCTTAGGAGGGTCCCAGACCCTGAGGTCACATCCAGATCCAGTGTGACCACACCTTTCCCCCACTTGGCCACACCTCTTCCTGTCCCCGGCCTAGATAATTCCTGGCCCAGAGGTGGGTTTTCCCCCCATTTCCTTTTCAGCCATGCCTCTCCACCATGCAAGGTGTGTGTGTGGGGGGGGAAACAGCAGTTTGGTAAATAAACTTCTTTTCCTGCCTGAGTAGCTTGTGGTATTCTCTTCATCGGTTACCTAATGAAACCTACCTATTTAATATACCTTACATATGGTGCTGTGACTAGGATGGGGTTTTTGAGTTGGAAATGTTAGAATTTCCTAACCACCCCTTTTCTGTAAACCAAACTGCCTTGAGACACCACGTGAGACTTTTCACCATTACCATTGCTGGCTTCACATCCACGTTCACACTTCTCTACTCTAGTGAGTGAAACTACTCTCTACAGTTGTCTGTTGCTCAGTCTCTGTCCAGATGTGGCGCCACGCCAGAGAGCTCCTATGGTTTTTAGCTGAAAGACCGGCCACCTCCAAAGCCAGAGCGCCTAATTTTTATGCCATTCTCAGATGTAGACAGTTTTTGCCACTGCAATGGTAAATGGTCAGAAGTCTTTTTACTTTCAGGCTCTCTTTGCTCTCTCTCTCTTTCTGCCAATCATGTCTAACTTTCCCTATCTCTCCTCTTCTCCTTTCTACAACATTTTGGCTTGTGCCCTGAGGAGTGCAATGCAGGCTGGGTCCCGGGGACCCCCCCTCTAGGTTCCCTCTCAAAGGCTAGCCACTCTAGGTTTGAAAATTGGCAGAGTTTCCATTTGTTTAGGTTTTCTTTGTGTTTTGTCACCATCTTGAGTTTGCCATCTTGACCACATGGTGGGTTAAGGATTGGGTCTCATCTGACTCAACCTTCCACCAAGCTTACTACTCCGCCTACTTCTGCAGCCTCCCCTGTGAGGCACCCCTATTTGCAACCTCCCCAGTGAGGTACACCCCATTTTATGACCTTCCCTGTGAGGCCCTCCTCTCTTTTGTGGCCTCTCAAGTGAGGTGCAGCCCCCATTTGCGGCCTCCCGTGCGAGGGCCTCCCTCTGTGGCCTTTCCTGCAAGGCCCCTTCCCCTGTAGGACCCTTCCTCTGCCTTTGTAGTGGGGGTAGAACCTGAAGTTCCATGTGTGCTAGAAGCAGTGCACCCCCACTGTCAAAATCTTTAGCTCTCTCTAGCATTGACCATGTGGCAGATGCACCATCTTGGCATTATGGGAGTTCAGCTGCTATTTTGTGCCAACTCAATTTCACGTTGACCTCAACTTGATTCTGTGTGCACACCTATAAGTGTATGTCTGTATCTGTATAAACTTGTTATCTGGCATTGTAATCAAGTTATTTGGCTTAAATTGTCTGATATTCCTGGTTTGTTAACTTTGGATACATAGTTCAGTGCCAGCCAGTCTACATGCAGTCCAGATCCAGTCCATCACTTCCAACCTGGAAGACAGGCTTCACTCCTGCCTAGACCATCCTGACTACCTCCACCATGGTAAAAGCAGACTGGAGTCTTGCTTGGCTCCATCACATGCAGCTGATTTCCTAGTGAAAGATTGCTTTGGATTTGTAAAAGCTAAGGCTCTTTCTGTAACTTTGGTTAACTTAAGCACTGTTAGGGTTACCAGAAAGAAGTCAATACTATATCTGTGCTAAAATTTTCATCACATCTAACAAGTTTTGTCATTTCAGAATATTTATTGGTCAATTCTTGATAAGAACCAAGTAAGCTTTACTTATTCTACTTGATCTCCTTGTTGTTTTAATTGGAAATAATAAAGGGCTTTTGTGGCAAAGATAGCAGTTCAAAGCCAGCCTGGCCTGAAAAATCCCTAAGACTCCATCTCCCAACTAACTGCAAAGAGCCAGGCTGGAAGCATGGCTCAAGGCTCTTATCTCTAACAAGCAAACACTGCAAGTGGTACTACAACTGAAAGTGGTTCATTGCTAGCCTTGAGTAGAAGTGCTCAGGGACAGTGCCAGGTTTTGAGTTCAAACCTCCTTGAATACCAACTGGGACAAGCCATCCCAACAACGAGCATCTAGACTCAGCCAGTCTGGGGAACAAGGGAACATGGAGTGGAACAAGAGGAGATGATGTCACATCAGCCACTTTGTGACAGCCCTTTCAAAATTAACCAGAGCCGGGAGGTCAATAGAACTAAGAAGTCTATCCATCTAATGTCCAACCTGTCTACCTTTTAACTGGACAGGAATTTACATTCTTGCCTTTGTTACTTGACATTCTCCTCTACCTAATTGCCAGATGTCAGAAGTAGCTAGGGACATTTCTACCAACTCCAAGACAGCCTGGAATGCAGGAGATAAGAACTAGCCATTCTAGCCAAGTCATCCAATTTTTAAATTTTCAGCCCCAAGTCCTTCCTCTTGCCATTTATTTGCTCTCTAGTATTATTTTTTCAGTTCCTCAAAGCCTCATGAGACTTTCTCCAGACTTCATCCAAGAGACTTGCCTCCTCCAGACTTCATCTAAGGACTCACGCCTACCAAGGGACAGCTGCTGCTCCATGCTTCTCTGGGAGGGGATCACATTCTAGCCTTTTACCCTTAATGTTGAAGCCCCTTGTGAGCAGGAAGTGTCCAGAGAGAATCCATGCCTTATTTCATTATTATTAAAAGGCTGGAATGTAAGGTCTGCTCTTGGTTGGAGAGCAGACTCCACCCCTCTTACAGCAAAGTCTCCGCCCAGTACCTGCATTACCTAGGCAAATGGCACACCTGGAAGAGGTCACATCTGCATCTGCTGAGGTCACATCTGGAGTCAATGTGGCCACACCTTTCCCTGCCCCTACCCTAGATAAGGCCTACCCCAAGACCAGATGCTCTCTTTCCCAGGTCTCTTCCCAACCGAGTGGAGTGCCACCCTGGCCTGGTACCAGCCAGAACGATGAATAAATCTACCCCTTACCTGAATATCACATGCGTGGTGTTGTTCTTAGGCAACCTCTTCTTTAAAAACCTAACATCTCTCCCCATGAGAGCACCCATACTCATAGTGTGCCCCTGACCTTCTGTGTGTGTCTGCTTTTTGTCTGTTTGTCTGCTTGTCTGCTTGTTTACTTTATAAAGCTCTGCTAAGTTTTCTTACCATCATGACTTGTCCATAAATTTTTTTATTGTGAAAATAACGTACGGAAGGGTTACAATTACATGGGCAAGGTAATGAGTACATTTCTTATCAAGCATTGTTGCCTCTTCCTTTGTTTACCCATCTCATCCCTTCCCATCTCCTCCCCAACCCCCCCCACCAAAATTGTAAAATTTGTTTTTTGACATAATGTCTTGTACATCTCATTGTTGCAATGGGTCCACCTGTATCCCTATTTAAACAATTTGTTTTTCCCTTCCCTTCCACAAATGATACCAACATCAAATACAGTGACAACAGGGGTTATACCATGGGGGAAGGACATACAAAGCAACAAAGAAATCATTTTATAAGTATGTTAGAAACAATCGCAAGAAAGACAAAAACATTTGAATCCTTATCTTGGGGTTCATTTTGCCTAACATCAACTTATCTGACCTTATCTGCTTGTCTCAGACATATACTAGTTATTGCAAATAAGGGAAACCATGGGACCTATTTTTCTTTGGGCCTGGCTTACTTCACTTAATATAATTTTTCCAAGTCTTTCCATTACCTAACAAATGGGGCAATGTCATTCTTTCTGATGGATCTCCCATCTAAGAAAAGCCCAGGACCAGATGGATTTACAGCTGAATTCTACAAGGCCTTCAAAGCAGAGCTCACACCAATACTCCTCTAACTCTTCAATGAAATTGAAAGAAAAAGTTCACCACTGAATTCATTCTATGAAGTCATCATAACCCTCATCCCAAAACCAGGCAGGGACTCATCAAAGAAAGATAACTATAGCCCTATTTCTTTGATGAACATGGATACAAAACTTCTCAATAAAATTTTGGCCAATCGACTTCAACAACTCATCCAAAAGATCATACACCATGATCAAAGAGGATTCATTTCAGTGATGCAAAGCTGGTTCAATATATGCAAATAAATTAATATAATTCATCACATCAATAAGAGCAAGGATAAGAACCACATGGTTATCTCAATAGATGCAGAAAAAGCATTTGACAAGATCCAACACCCCTTTATGATGAAAGTTCTGGAAAAATTAGGAACCAGGGAACATTCCTCAATACAATAAATGTTATATATGACAAACCTACAGCCAGCATTATACTTAATGGTGAAAAACTAAAGCCATTTCCTCTTAACTCAGGAATGAGACAAGGATGTCCACTCTCTCCACTTCTCTTCAATTTAGTATTAGAATGCCTAGTTACAGCAATAAGACAAGATGCAAACATAAAAGGGATCCAAATAGGGAAAGATGAAGTAAAACTCTCCCTCTTTGCAGATGACATGATCTTGTATTTAAAGAATCCCACAGACTCCACTCCCAAATTACTCATGCTTATTCAAAACTTTGGCAAAGTAGCAGGGTATAAAATTAACCCTCAAAAATCAATGGCTTTTCTGTATGCCAACAATGAGAAAAGCATGGCTGAAATCAGGAAAGCAACTCCATTCATAATAGCCCTACAAAATATAAAATACCTAAGAATTAACTTAACCAAAGAACTGAAGGACCTCTATGATGAAAACTTTAAAGCCCTGAAAAAGGAAATCAAAACAGAACTTAGAAAGTGGAAAAACCACCCATAAATTCTTATTCTGTGATGGAAGTCAAGGGCCCAAAGTGAAGAGTTCCTACATTTAAAAGGAAGCTTCACTAAACCTCACCTCCAGTGACAGTAGAAACAATTGGGGTAATTTATATCAAGGAGTAATCACAGTGCCTTACACACTGTCATGAACCAGTCATTGGGGACCAGGTAAACTTGCCTCAATCCTTCCAGGACAAACCTTGCAGACACCAGTTGGAGCTTATTTAATGATGACAGCAATAGCAAGTTTAAAATAATATTATTTATTGATACATCTTATAAGAAGTTATAGGATAAAAAGATGAGATTAAGATATAAAGGAAGCATGATAATTTTAAATTGTGTCTACAGATTATCTGTTCTTGTTAAATGTTCATGTCCCTTCAAAACTAGCAGATTGAATTTGAATGTCCAATGTATTGGTATTAAGAGGTAAAATCCTAGGATTTTACCTAGGATTACTGCTCTTATGAAAGAGGCCTGAGGGAGTTTGTTTGCCCCTATTACTCTTCTATCATGCAAAAACACAGCTAGATGCTGTCATCTATGATAAATGATACCAAATCTACTAAAAAGCAGGTAAATGAACACATTCCCATCTCTGTCCAACTTTTCCAATAGAAATATTCTTCATGCGTACTTATACCTATTTCTTCTCTGAGGTATCATCAAAAACACTGTATGCTTAGGTGAGGATTCTTCCCTCTGGAGATCTCCTGAGCCCATATTGTTCCCCAGGGACATATAGAGAAATAATATTTAATGTATTTTAACTGGTACAAGACAGACAGGGAGCAATTACTACAGATATCCAGGTCACAAATGAGTATGGTTAGGCTAACTTGTGTATACTGGTTGAATTTTCAAAATTAGCCACAGTAGTAGATATTTTACTGGGTCAACTAAAAGTTGCATAT